CCCCACAGGGCTTCTGAGGGTCCTCTTGTCATTCTGTTTCCTTCTTAGGAGAGGGTGCTGGGCAGGCCAAGGCTGAGCACACGGGAGTCAGAGACAATGGGCCATGGCTGTGAGCAAGACCTTCTGCTACCCAGGACCCTGCTTTCCTGAGAATCTTGTTCAATGAAGTCAAAATAAACGCCTGCTTGCTTTACAGTGTTTGCCTTCCTGGTTTTTCCTCCACTTTCATTCTGACACCCACCTGAACTGAGTGTCACTCCTGGTGGCTTGTGGGTGCTTGTGTAAAGTGCAGGAACTAGTGTCTTCCTTAGTCCTGCTGAGCTATCAGCTCTTCTTCTTGAGGCGATGGTGCTGGCTGCTTTTTGATGGAAATGGAGTCTTTATTTGATGTGCAGTGATTTCCCACAGCTGAATTCTGACCCCAGGGGGCACTTGCTTGCACCAAAAAATCCCTGAGGAGGCAATAGCATACCTCTGCCCGCTTTCATTGTAAATGAATATCATGTGGATTAATCATTAGTCTCCTTTAGGAATCGGCATAGAGTTGTAGATGGGGAGGGATACATGGAAGAGGATGCATTCTGGGGGACAGGTCACTTGTAGGAAGACGCTGGATCCTACCCATTAGGTTTCAGACTTACGTGCTCACAAACGTCCCCAGACACATCACGGCTCATCAAAACAGGCACCCTCAAGGAACAGCCTTCTCTCTCACTACATATGTTTCTACTTCCTGTGTGTGCCTTTCTCGCCTTTCCAGGGTGACCTTGAAAGGTAAGGAAACATAGTTTCCTCCGGATAAGGCTCCAGAGAAAGGTGGAGCACAGCGGAACCATTAATCTATCATGGCTGAGACCAGATTAGAAATGGCAATGGCTGAGCTGGAGATATGGCTCAGTGGTTGAGGTCCTGCTGCTGTTGTGGAGGACCTGGGTTCAATTCCCACCACCCACACCATGGCTCACAACTGAGTATGACTCCAGTTGCAAGAGATCTTTGACCTCTGTGGATAACCGGCACCCACTTGGTGCAGAGATTTGTGCCAAACAACCATGCACACGAAATAAAGTAATAGGAAAAGAAATTGCAACACCAGGTATCAGAGACCGAGCCACCAACATACTATTGGACATCAGAAAACAAAGGGAAGCTGACATCATAAGGGACCCTCAAAATACTTTCTTGTCTGTCTAAATGAGGACCCAAAACTCTCAGAAATGGGGGAAACTGTTGTCTCCACTTCTTCGGGGGGAGCAGCTCTGTGGGGGAGCCCCGCTTTCGGTAGGCTCACCCCTGTGCATCTGCCACATTGGCTTTCTCATGCTTCCTTCCATCTAGGTAGAAATAAGTCTTGCTGTATCTGTTGAGTTCTGTGCCAATGTTTTACCTGCACCTCCTCCAGAAAATGAAAAGGTAATTTAGGTGGCATGATCTTGGCATTTGGAGACAGGGAACATTTGAAGAAGCAGGTAAGAGGATGGACGACATGCTTAGTACTTTTCACGGGACAGTACAGCTTGCTGAGGTACCTATTATGGCTGTGGACTATAGACAACAAATACTCCATGGCTATTTCAGAAAAAACGGAATGTAAGAACTTCAAAAATAGACACCATCTAATATGCAGTCTCTACCACCGACAATGGGCTGTGGGCTGCAAATGGAAAAAGAAACATTTTGGCATCACAAGGAAAGTGTTTGGACTGATAGTCACATATTCGGCCCCAAGAGCCCTACGCCAGAGGGAAACAGAGCATTCCCACAACACCCACTCCTCCGGGTCATCTCAGATTCCCATATCATCACCACCCCCACCCCACCAGCAGACAGCTCTCCTTGTTTTCTTCACAGAACTGAAGGGAAGGAATAAGGGGTTTTTGGATGCAGTGTTCTCTGAACCCCACCTATGCCAGGGGAGGCCCCTAGAGTGCTGTTTCCAGATCCCTTGAGAATTGGGTCTACAGGATAAGAGGTTTCCAAGGCGCACCAGCACATACATGAAATGGAACCAGAAGCCTCTAAGGGCCTGTAAGGGCCTGTAAGGGCCTGTAAGGGCCACAGGTACTCAGGACAGCCACTAAGCTCCTGATATCCACTGGAAGCTATCCTAAGTCAGCAGAAGAAATGTGGGTCCTTCAAAAGCCACGCTGTATATACGGGCCACCAACATTGGCTAGAGCTACCCTTTCATCAGATCCCTCTCCAGTCACAAAAGTCTCTGTAGCCTGACTGAATTGGGTTGGGGCCTTGGTCTAGCCACCAAGGCTTATGCTGGCTGTGCTAAGACACACTTCCCTCTCACGTTTGTCAACAGTGTTCATTCCACAACACCTACAGAATCTTTCACAGCTGCTCACACAGAGGCCTTTGTTCTCGTTTCAAATTATGGAAGCTCGCTGTAATCCTTCCACTGCCCTCACAGCACACGGAGCTCTGGCTCTCCGAGGCTTCAGGAGACAACCTGTTTTGTGCCCTTGCCTCGGGGAACAATCTCAGGTCTGCTAATGGACACTTGCTCCTCTCCTGCCACTCCTTAGAAAGGAGGGATTAAGGACCCAGAGTTTGCTTGGGTGCCAGAGTCCAGAGCACCAAACGCAGCTGCTGCTGGTGGGCTTCCCTCTGGCAAACCTCGGAGCCAAGAGTGTCTGGTGCCAGTCTTTTCCAATCCCTGTCCTGTCTCAGGCACACGTGTTCCTGCTCTCTCGCCATCCCTCCTGCATCCTCTACTTCTACCCTTGCAGCTCTGTGAAAGCATGGAGTCTTCCGGGAATCCAAACATCCCAACATGGGCTCATCTGTCGGTTTTACCTCTCTAGTGCTGTATCTCCTGGGTGCTGCTACCCGGAGGCGGTGCAGCCTGCTGCTTCCCAGATATCTCCCTCACGCGGATCCATGCCTGTCCTCGGCTCCCTGACCACCTGGTTTATAGGACCACCCCAGTCAAACCTGACTGCCATGTCTACCTCACTTATTTACACCGAGAGACCCAACTAGACTCTGAGATGTGGGACAGAGACCAAATCTGGTGCATCCTTGGATCTCCAGTACCCAGCACATGCCTCACAAAAGGTAAATGGTCACTAGACAGGGGTTAAATAAATGAGTCCGTGAGTAAGGTGTCTAATTCAATTTTATTTTCCCTACATTCCAGACATCTAGGTGAATACAAGTAAACATCAGCTGTCTTGTCTGTGTGTCAGATTGTGGTCGTATTTGTGTTTACTTCTTAATATGTAGATGGGGGGTCACTGTGCCATAGATTCCTTCACCATCTCAAAGAACTACGACTCTAGTATGTTTCAGACATAAAATGGCAGTGTCACAATTGTTTCGTGTGAACGAACAAATCTCTCCCTAAATAAGGAACAATGAAACACTGGATGTATGCCAAGCACAAACGTAGATGCTCATGCTTACTCATCTGTATGTAACAGCAAGGATGTGGGAAATATTTTAGTGTGCCTTTACTTCCACTCTGATTTGACACTGTTCTAATCGAGTCGCTTTTGATTTACTTTATGGTTCCGGGGATGAAAGCCACAGCTTTACCCGTGTGAGGAAAGTCTTCTACCACTCAGCCACATCCTCGGCCTTCATCACTTAGTTCTCCTCACTTGACGCCTCGCAACTGTTTTTCAACGGGAAAGAGGACAGCTACAAAGCAAGCACGACTCTGCAATGTGAAGACTAGGCGCTAAGTCACCAGGAAGCACAGAGAACTGGGGCACCATCTCATGAATCCTTCCTGACCCAGGGCCTAGTGCTCCGGCGCCCCTTGGACTACCCACAACAAAAGCAAGGAAACCTCGGCCTCGGCCACTCCTGCTGGCAGCAGAAGCCCTGACTCTGTCTGGCCTGAGAAAGTGACTGGCACCAGCACTGTCCCCAGTACTGACCATCACTCCGGCATGGCTCTAGCCCTGGCCCTGGCCCTGGCCCTTGCATTGGCACTGGCGCTGATGCTTGCTTCAGCCATGGCACGGGCCCTGGAACTGGAACTGGCACTAACACTCGCACTTGTCACATCATGACCAGCAGCTGCTTCTCGGCCACCGCACAGCACAGGGTATTTCCTCCTCCTCTTCTTTCAAGGCCTCATTTCCTGCCACAGCCAAGGCTCTGGGCCGGGTGTCATTCACTTGGGCCACAAACTCCAGGACTTCCATCTGTCTTGCTTCCTTTGAGGGCCCCACAAGAATACCAAGAGCATGGGACTGCTGGCGGACACCTACTCCTGCACCAGATACCTGTGCTGCTCACAAGCTCTGGTGATGCGCTTTGGTGACTGCTCCCCAAGGAGGGGATGCTTTTTAGGCGAACATACCTCGAACACCCTCCACCCCTGTCCCTGAACACCTCCTCTGGGATCAGCTGGCCTGCACGAAGATCGATCGAGTCCGGGATACTCAGCGGAAAGCCCAGTCTTTGGCGTGCTTGCTCTGCTCGCCTGGGCCTGGGCCTGTCCCCAAAGGCAGGGCACGATGGACTTTTTTTTTTTTTTCCTGTTCGGGACATAGGAGTGCTCTGGAGGGCCACGTTCCTTCACCTAGACCCAAAGACTAACTCGGGGAGGTCAGAGGCTCTCTTGAAAATCTCGGGGAAGAAGCTCCTGCACCTTTAGGATGACACACTTCAGCATGTCTGCCCTTTTGATCCACACAGTCTTCGCGTTCTTAGCCAGCAGGTACTGCGCCAGCAGCTCAGCTACTTTCTAGCTCCCAGGGCCTCTGGGCATGCGCGCCAGGGGTGGTGGGACCCGCGGGGTGCTCGGCGGGGGATCCCCTAGGGGCTTGTGGGGTCCACAAAGGAGCTTGCAGAAGCACCTGGGCGGGGGGCTACGTGCCTCAGAAGAAGTGCTCTCGGGGCTCCGGGGAGCACTTAGCGTCCCCGCTGCAGGCGCCCCCGCGGGCTTTCCTGGGCAAGGAGGAGAGAAGAAGGAGGCCGGGGGGCCTCTGAGACCCGCAGGCCCTGGGTGCCACCTCTACCGCGGACGTTCTCACCTGCGGCTTTGGCTGGCCCAGGAAGCAGGAACTCGGGGAGGAGATGCGCGTCCTCGGGCATTCGGCGGCCGGCCCGAGCGCTGGCTGCGAGGCCGCGAGGAGCGTGACGACGTCGCCGCGGACGCTGCGGCGGCCGCCGAGGACACCCGCAGCCCCTGGGTCTGGAGTCCCAGGCCGCGGCCCTCACACCCCGAGGACCAGGAAGCGGGCAGGGGAGGGGGCGCAGCCTCCGCCGCCCGGCTCTGCTGTGGGAACGCGCTGGCGCCGCCCCGCAGCGCCTCTGCCGGCCGGGGACGGTACTGCAGCCGGGGCCGGAAGAATGAGGGGCCCCTCTCCTAGAGGTGGGGGCCACTGATGCCAGCCTCAGCCTCAGAGGAGACCAGAAGCCTCCAGACCACACGGAACGCAAACCTACCTCCCGTTACCGGGAAGAATGGGGCGTTTGAGATCATCTGTGTCTTCCCTGTCGCTGCCCCTTGAGGAGGAGGCTCCCTAGGGGAGAGGTGCCTCTGCCTCTGAGTGGAGGCCTTTCTCCAGCAACAGGCCCTCTGCTTCCCCTAGGCATCCTCCACTTGGAAGGGCTGCGGTGGTAGCAGGTCCTTTTCGTGTGGAACTTCTCGGCTACACAGTCTAACCAAACTTTGCAGAGTTCCTGGCATCTTTGTGTACTTGCTTCTCTGCCTTCCACCTCACTGGGCCTGGATGTTCCCCCCCCCAGGAAGAGGGGGGTTGTTCCCCCCTCTTGCCTCTCATCTGACAGTCAGGGACCATCAATAAACCTTGAGCTAGGAGGGCAACAACTGGGGAGCCCACAGGGAACCAGGAGAGGTCTCCTCCCCAGCAAGTGCTTCTTTTTCTTGCATCGTGTCCAACAGGTTAGAATTCCACTTTCAGCCTGTCCTGTCTCGACAGTGAGCAACCTGCCTCTTTGCCTTAATGTCTGTAGCCAGCCCTGGGTCACGGCACAATGGTTCCTGAATTTCTGCATGATTTGACGCTTCTGTCTTTTAAATTTCCCCCATTGCTGGCCTTTTATTGCTGCTCCTCCCTTAAGGGAGACTTGAACATAACTTTTAGTCTGAGTGAAATAATTTCACCCCATCATTCTGTTTTCGAGTCTTTTGAAAAATCTCGTCCTCCATGTGAACACCGTGGTCAAATTTTGCCCGTATGAACACATAGTTGGCTTGATTTGCACTAGAATTGCCTGGTATGGCGAGCTCAGTTCCAGGTACGGTTGGCATCTGGACAGTGTGTAGGGTTCTCAATCAAAAAAATGTATTTTCTTGCATTGATTCTAGAGTACTCCACTTATCTTTGTAACTTGCCTTCTATGCCTATGGAATATTTCCTGTGTTTGTAAATATTCCTGGGTTTTTTTTTTCCTGTTGCTCTAAGTTGGATATTTCTACAGTGTTTGTTCCAATTCTATTTGAGATATCAGAAGCCCCGTTGTCTCATACATTTGCTTGATCTGCCATAAAGCCATCTGAACAACAACGGTCCTTATTGGAATTAGCTCTCAGTGTGCATTTGCTGCATGCTGTGGTTCTTGTCCAGCGCTTTCCTCTTTTTTGTCACCCTGACTAGGACTATGGCACTTTGCCAGCTAATGCTCCTCCTGTGAACTTTCTGTTGTCCTTAATGGGGCAGACGCCAGTGCCTTTGAACTATATGCAGTATGTTGTGGGTTTCCATTGAGCTCATTATCTATTGTTTGTCCAGGTCCAAATCAGATTTCCTTTGTCCAGCCTTGGGGCAGAAGAGCTGGTCACTTCTACCCTTTCTCCTGTGCCAACTAAGTGAGTGTTAGTGTTGCAGGTGTCAAGCACTGCAGTAGCCTGTTAGTCCCAGCAGAAAACTGCTTCCCATCCATTCTAGCATCCTGGTCATGGTGTTCACTGCAGGAAGTCAGAGACCAACACGGGCAAACACTAGCTGCCTCTCAAGACTCACTCTCCTTACCGTGGTTGCCCATCTCAGTGGGGGTTTCTTTTGCTGTGATGAGACCATGGCCAAGGCAACTCTTGAAAAGGAAAATACAACTGGTCCTGACTTGCATTTTCAGAGGTCTAGTCTGTTATCCTCATGGTAGGACATGGCAGCATGTGGGCAGACATGGTGCTCCAAGAAGGAGCTGAGAGTTCTACATCTGGACTCACAGGCAACAGAAGGAAGCTGCAACACTGGGTGTAGCTTCAACATATGGCATCACAAAGCCCACCCCCAAAACGGCACGCTTCCTCCTACAAGGCCACTCCCCCTCCCACAATGCTACACCTCCTAATAGTGTCACTCCCTACAGGCCAATCATTCAAACACATAAGTCTATGGGGGCCACACCTATTCAAAGCACCACAGTACCCCTGGGCATCTCACCGCTCCATGGGCCACCACATCTTCCAACTCTGCAAAGGAGGTCTCTTCTGTAGAGCCACACAGACCCTTAGGCTCTGACAAGTTTCTCCATCCCTGGAAGAAAAGATCTTTTCACATCCATGCTAACCCCGAGAGGTTTGAGGGCAGTCAGGGATGAAGGGTGCCTTCTCTTACTCCCTCCACCCCTGTCTCCTCTCATCCCACAGCTAGTAACTGCTCTTTTACACTCACTACTGTTGAACTCTTCAAAGTGCTATTTCACTCTTTCGATTGCTCAGGCAATCTTATACTTGGTGTACTCTGTCCAAAAAACAGCATGGTCTCTGCCGCCTGATTGGACCCTCTCCCACAAGACAGACATCAACGGAGGAATTTTCCATTAAACCAAACCCCGTAGAATTTTATTTGGATATGCATTTCAAATTCCACTCGAAGGTGTTCCATTATCAATGGTTCCCATCGTTTCTCTCTTCGGGTGGCTTTTAACTGTTAAAACAAGAAAGAAAAGAATAAGAAAGCAAGCCTAGGGAACATGCTGGAACCTTTGCCTACACACTCTCATTAAATTCTGCCACCAGTACACTGTCTTCTCTGCAGTGGCCACTAAATGCAGGCAGTTGGACACTTGACGGTTCCACATGTGTTCAGGACTTGAGCCCTGTCGCCTCCTCTATGAGACCTGTGGCAGCTCTTTTCTGACCCCCCACCCCCAACAAAGCCAAACTTCACCCCCAGAAAAATGTTGCCACTTACCTCTGTCCACAGCCAGATGACACTGGGTTCTGAAGTTCAAGAAAAGGCAAAAGGCCAAGGCCAAAGTATTTGCCATTGGGCAGAGGCAAAACCATACAAGAATCCAGCCTGCCAGCAGCGGGATGTTAGGCATGCTCATGGAGCATGGAGTCCCAGGTCTGTCTTGCTTTCTGCATCACTGGATGTGCTGTGGCTGACACTTAGGCCCTGCAACTCTGCATCATTTTCCCATAGTGCTCCTGTTGGCCTGCTCTGCAAAATTAAAGCAATTAGAGATGGCAAAACAACAACAACAACAACAACAGTGTGTCAATGTCCTCTCCTGGGTCAGGAATTCAAAGTGGTGATATTTATTTTCTCTAGGTGGTCAAATCCAGTGACAAACTCTGGTGGAAATGCAGAGACAGATGTGACCCAACATATTGTTCAGGACAATTAAATGAATGGCCATCAAATGTGATAAAAAAGACTGGAAATGAGTTCACAATATTCTATGACATTTTCAGGGTATAAGCACATGCCAAAAGCATTCATTTCTAGATGTGCATCCTAGCTCTGGTTGCTAGATAAAATACAGCATGCCGAGGCAGAATTGAATCTCACAGCAACAACAAAGACTTTTTTTAGTGTGTACTTTCCCTGTATGGAGAGGCAGACTTATAGGAAGACAACTTCAAAATATGAATAATTGTTATTTAGGTGAAAATCAAAGTTATCTAGACATCCTGTACTGTATTTTCCCGGTATGGAACCCTAACATGAGAGGAAAGAGTCCCACAACTCCATGGGTGAATGAGAATTGCTATTATCATACTATCTGTCATTGGTAAGGTGAGAACAATAAAATAAAAATACTCATCAGAAAAATGATTTCAACATCTACAATGTGCCTAAACACCACATACCAATTAAAATATCTAAGTGTATATGTGTTGCATAGAGACATGAAGCGATATATATACATACACACACATATATATATATTATGTTTATTACATATACATATATATGAAGAAAAATGTATTAATTCGTTACAAACGTGGAAAACTGGTCATGGTGGCAGATATTTGTAATCCCAACTAATGTGAGAGGCTGGCAGGAGAACCAGAAGTTCATAGCCAGCATCTTTTACATAGTAATTTCCAGGCAGGCTTGGGCTTGTTGTGACCGTGTCTCAAAGAAAATATTCTGGAGAAATCGTAAGAATTTTACATCACTTAGGGGAAAAAACAGCAAAAGATATATTGATGTGTGTGAAAGTACATTGGTCAGCATAAGTGTATAAAGTGGGTTTAAAGGGACACATTGACCTCTTAGAGTGAACTCCTTTGAAGTCATACCTTTAATTTAGGAGTTTGAAGTAGGTTTTGTTTTTTGTTTTTTTTTTTTTAGCTCGACATTTTCAAAGAGAATCGTAGTGCCATAATCACCTAAACTGATCAAATTACATGTCTACATTGCTTTATGTCTGGGGTTTGCAAAGCTTGTTGATATGTTGTCTTATCTTGATGCAACACAATCAATCATAGTCTAGGTATTGTATCTTTGGCTAATGGGACTAGGTCTCCTATTGAGAACTCACACTGTGTAGACCAGGCTGGTCCCCACTTACAGTGACCCTCTACCACTATGTACCCAATTCTGAGGTTGCAGGCATACACAAAAATGCTTGGCTTCAATTAGTTTATCTTTAGATCATTTGTATTACTGCCTGTTACCCTCCTTTTCTCTTCCACTATGACATAACAACAGGTTTGCCAATTGCTCTCCCATCTACTAGAAAATCTTCCATTGGTAAATTCTCCACTTTCACTTCAGGGAAGCTTGATATATCTAGGGTTTTAACTAATATATTGTTCAAAGATGATGGTACAGTATGGCTCAAAGCCTAACATGAAATAACTATTATAAATAGAATTCTAAGTCTCTTACATTCAAGAATTCAAAGAAACTCTTTAATTGCATTTTAGGAACAAATGGTTACCACCTGCAAAGGCTTACATTCTACCAACA